AAACTGACTGACTGACTGACTGACTGACCTTGATGATAGGGTAATGCGCGGCGGCTGTTTAAATGGGAAACTAAATTGAATCTGACAGATTGAATTTACTATTGTGCTTTTTTGGCTGCAGAGATATTCGAAACCAACGCATTATTAGGGCTGGGACCAGTATTTCTCCTTTTCATTGTTTATCTAAGCTTCCTCTGCTCCTACCTCATTTCAGGTAATCTTAGGCAATCGGTTGGGGTCCTACGAATTCGTCGTTTAAACGATGCAGGCGAAGAAGTGTCGTCAGAGGCAGAGAAGTGTGTAATACTCAAAACATTTTTTAAAAGCGTCTATAAAATGGGTGATTGGTGCAGCTACCTCAGCTACATCAACAGGTACGAGCTCCAATGAGCGATCTACAGGTAGACAGATTTCAAGTTCTGAAGGTACTCACTGAATTAAAATCTGGCAAATCAGCGGGGAGTGATAGACTTCATCCAGCCATCTTCAAGCCACTCGCAGAGATTTTGTCGGCTTCTGCGTATGCAGTATACGAGAAATCCCTAAGACTGGGTGAGATACCGAAAGACTGGAGGACGGGGACAGTTGTGGCAATACACAAGGGAAGTGACCGAAAGGCGCCAGAGAATTATAGACCAGTTAGTCTCACTATAATCCTCTATAAAAGACTTAAGATAATCGTTAGAAACGGTATAGGTGAGCATAGTGCGTGCTACAACCTACTATCCCCGACCCAACATGGGTTCCTCAAAAAGAGGTCATTTCTCAGCAACCTGGTATGCTTCCTAGATGAAGTCACAGGGTAGTTGGACGCAGGCCTGAAAGTCGAAGTTTGTTACTTAGACTTCAGAAGGGCTTTTGACTCGGTTAATCATCGATTACTCCTTAAAAAGCTCGACAACGTTGTCCTTCCTGAGACTCTGCTTAAATGGATAAGGGCGTTTCTGAACAGGCGGACCTACAGGGTTCGGGTAGGAGAGGCACTATCTCCTTTTCTATTTAACTTTGTTATAGATCTGATTATGGAAACAGCCCTATCCTCGTGCGAGGATAGTGGCATCGATTTACTTCAGGTGGCAGGCTGTCTGATCTGGAGTACGCAGACGACATTGTGCTACCAAGTGAAGGTCCAGGTAAGTTGTAAGCATTTCTGGATAACTTGAATGCCAGTGTACCATATTCGGTATGCGTTTTGCACCTTCAAAGTGTAAAATGTTGCTACAAGACTGGGTTGGTCCAGCACCCAGCCTCACTCTTACTGGAGAAGTAATAGAGCAGGTGGATAGGT